GTTGCAGTGTTCGCACACACACACACACACAAACCCTGGGTGGAGCCTACAACGATGGAAGCCCCCAGACCTAGTTGGAGGACACACGGCCTTCGCAGTAGACAGGTACGCTACGAAACAGATGTGTTCTTAACAATTGTAATTAATTAGACAGGACTACGTGCCAAGCAATTCAAACTTAACTGGTTGTACCTCAAAAAGCCCCCAAAATCCAAAGGTACGTATCAACAGGTGCCCTTATGAAAAACTTGGGCAGATGAATAGTTGGCCCATGGTTTCGTGCCCCACCCTCCCTCTCCCCTACTTCATGAAATTTGGTAGTTTCCCAAAATAGGGGACCCCAAATAGACCTCAAAATACTGTACTCCTTATTATGAGGATCCCAATAAGGTACCCCTAATTTTGGGAAACCCCATTTCTGTTTCTTCGAGGATCCCTTCGGATCAAAACTGTCTGCGAGAACGCCTTAGGCGTCCACAGCGCCAATCTGGGAGGCTCTCAAAATGAAAATTTAGAGAAAGGGCTCAGGAATCACAGTTAAGGGTTGACCCTGAGCCGCAAACATAGCTTTTTAGGATTCCTAAACCCCAAATAGTAGTTTCCATTTTCTATTCCATTATATCCCTATATATCCCTACATAACCCCTATATAACCCCTATATGAACCCTAAATCTTCAACCCATCCGACACACTAAGCCCTGAGCATTTTGAAAAGCTCCCATCTGCCTTTATTACACAGTGAGACTGACGCGAGATGTGAGTGATGGAGCAAGGACTCTTTTGGGGGTTTGGGGTTTGGGGTTTACAGCCTGGGGCTTAGGGCTAGGGTTTAGGGCTCAGGGCTTAGGGATTAGGGTTTAGGGCTTAGGGGTAAAAATCCATGGAAGCCCGTATATAAACCCATTTTCCATGTCATTGCCCACTTCTTGTCCATTTGATTCTCCTCGGTTGGGGGCTTAAGTTGCACATACCACACGAGCCTGGATGATGGAAAAGTTTGTGACGGACTTATTTGAAAAATGCATTGAAAATGCAGCTCCTGATATCATTCCACCGGGCTTCGAGGAAGCGAATATTCAGGATCCAAGTTTCGATTCTCTTCTATATTTCTCCCGAAGCCGATGATACTGAACTGTTACTAGCAATAAGACTGGTATTAACTCATGGTAGCGAGAGTCAGAAGCGCATGAGGAATGATAATGTTGGGCTTCCCCTCGAGGCTCTCTTGCCCCTGCTTTTGCAGCCCTGCCACCATGGCAGTAGTCTTTGGAAGAGCAAGCTCTGATTATGCCTAGCCTTAAAAAGCTTGCCTTCCTGGCACTCTAAACTTTGAAATGATGTCTACCTGCTCCTGGAGGGATAAAGCACAATTAGGGATCGGGCTTAGGAAATGGGATTGGAGGTCACAGCCAGCTCCTTATGCTCCGAAGGTCATGCCAGAAGCGCGACGATAGATGCGCCGGTAGTCCAGCGGAAACAGCGCCTTCATGAATTCCTCAGTCAGATTTGGGTCCGATGTAAGAGCTGTCAATATGGGCCTGCAAGAAAAACATAAAATCTAGATGTTTACCTTCAAACCTAACAAACGCCCAAAGGAGGGCACATGTTGGGGACCCATGGGTTGGACGTTACTTTAGTCTGAACTATAAAAACAACAGCTTTCTATGAGTTTGGTGCATGGGGCGTCTTCGGAAATGACCCTCCATCCTTAACCGCAGACTCGACAACTTGGAATCACCTGAATCAAAATGAGTTGCCCGAGATGCAACAAGAAATTGGCCCACCTCTTTTCCGAGTCCGTAAGTGGAATCAGAGCAGACGGTAAGTGTACTTTTCAATCCCCCGAAACCTTGCCCCACAAAACTCAAGCGTAACGTGTCCGCTGCTTGCCATTTTCTCCTGATTTTCAAGCTCCTCAGCCTATGTCTTCAAGTAATTAAAATCCTAAACCATGAAACGAGAGAGAGAGAGAGTGCTCTGATTCTCCATCATTGGAGGTCTTAGGGGTTCAGGGTTCATATAGACCTACAAATAGATAATCCTGAGGAGAAGCCCCCGCTGAAACGCTGTAGCCCTGATCACTAAAATGTCAGACCATTCGGCCGCCCCCGGAGAGCAGTCACACAATCAGATGGTAAAGGCTACAGAGTCGTATGCGGATGATATACAGCTTCTCCACCGTTCCTGTAGGGACTCAAAAGGATGATAGAGGGATATGGCCCCAATAAAGGAGAATCAAATGAAACAGAATTCGTAAAATGAACTGGACACTGGAGTCAGATAGTCGGATGACCAAACAATCAGTTGTCTGACTGTCTGCTATGCGGCTCCGGACTCTCTGACAGTTTGATAGGCGCATTAACCCTAAACCTTGGGTACTCCCCCCGCCCAGTGACAGTCTATATTAGGGGTCCTATTAAGGGATATATATAACCATAGTAGAATTACTATCCAACTGTTAGTGAGGGGGGGCAGTACCCAACCTAAACCCTAAACATCCATAAACCCTACACTTTACCTAAACCCTACCCGCCCCGTCCAACGACCTCAATCGAGCTTAGCGCTCAGGATTCCTACACCCTAAATCTCTAAGCCCCTTGCCCTGATGGGGTCTAGAGTTCAGGGTTCAAGGTTTAGGGTTTAGGGCTTAGGCTTTAGGCTTTAGGGTTCAGGTTCAGGGTTTAGGGTTCAGGGTTCATTGCTTAAGGATCCAAATCGGCCCAGATGCACGTTCGTCGATTCCTCCGTCTCCGTTGCTGTCAAAAGCGAGGAAGAGTTCGGAAGCCTGCTGTGTTTGGAGTTTAGGGTTTAGGGAGTATGGTGACAGTTTAGGGAGTATTGTTGGGGATTGGGGCTCTGGGACCCTGAGCCCTAAGCCGTAATACACTGAAACCTTTTAGGTTTAGGGGTTTAGGGTTGAGGGATCAGGGTTCAGTGGTTCATGAACCCTACCCATTAAGAGGCTCTTACTGGGTGTACCGAACTGAAACATCCCCAAGTGACAGCGCCTGAAGAGCAGGTAGAAATGTCATCCAGAGTAGCTGAATTGACTTAGGGGACTTTCCAGAATGTATCTCGCAACGAGAGACAACATAACACCACGCAACAACAAACTCCAACAAACTTGACACCCCCCAAACCACAAAGTCAGGCGCACATGAAGAGACCCCTTATGAATGGAGTAAAATGGGAACCCTAAACAAGGAACCTCAAGAATATAGAAGCAACATAGCAGGAATATAAGGATCCCGGAAGGTATATTCCTACTGTATTCCTTGGGTACTGCCCCCCCTCAGTAACAATTGGATAATAATTATATTATGGTTATACGTAGCCCTTAATAGGACCCCTAATATAGACTGTTACTGGGGGGGGCTCAGTACCCAATATATTCCTACTAAATTCTTGGGGT